GTCAATTTGGTTCAGGCCTAATAAAAATACTAATGATGCTATTATCCACATGCTAGACATATTTATACAGCAATAGAGAAAAAAGAAGTCCCACTGGGGATCTTCATTGATTTTACGTAAAGCTTTCGATACAGTTGACCAGGACTTGCTCCACATAAAATTGGGCGCACTATGGTATAAGAGGGCACTCTCTCATCTACCTAAAGTCATACCTCAGCAACAGAAGCCAATATGTGTACACAAATGGGGCAAACTCTTCCGCACAGCCAATTACAGTTGGTGTCCCACAGGGAAGTGTCCTAGGCCCTCTTTTCTTTCTCATATACATAAATGACCTACCAAATGCATCGCAACTACTCAAACCCACACTATTTGCAGATGACACTACATACGTCTTCTCTCACCCGAGCCCAGTCATGCCAGCCAATACTGTAAATACCGAATTACAGAAAATATCAACCTGGATGAGGACCAACAAACTTACTCTAAACAATGACAAAACCTACTACATTCAGTTTGGTAACAGAGCTGCAGATGTGTCTCTTAACATAATGATAAATGGATCACCTATCACAAAACTCACAGAGGGAAAATTCCTAGGAATCCACCTTGATAATAGACTCAAATTTCAAACACATATACAACAAATTTCCAAAAAAAATTCCAAGACCGTAGGCATACTATCGAAGATACGGTACTATGTTCCACGGTCAGCCCTCCTGGCCCTATATCACTCACTTATTTACCCCTATCTCACCTATGGAATTTGTGCATGGGGCTCAACAACAATAAACCATCTCAGACCACTAATCACCCAACAAAAGGCTGCAGTCAGAATGATAACAAATTCCCACTACAGACAGCACACTCCACCAATATTCAAAACTCTAAACCTACTCACCATACAAAACATCCATACTTATTACTGCACCTACTACATACATAGAGCACTTAACTCTGACATAAACCCTCCTCTCAAACATCTCCTTACCAACCTCAACAGAACACATGACCATAACACAAGGGACAGATCACTCTTTGATGTTCCTCGTGTCCATTGCACGCTATGCAAAAACTCAATGCACATAAAAGGCCCTAAAATCTGGAATTCATTACCTGTGAATATAAAAGAAACAATGTCTGTTTATAAATTCAAGTCTCTTCTCAAAAATCACTTACTCACCCACAAGTAAATAAATACTGAATAATTGTATCTCATAAATTGCATCTCATTATTTTATCTCATAAATGTCAACCTGTGACCCAATCAAACTTTGTTACTATTTAACTTCATTACCTAACAGAATACTCCATTCTACTGATTACACATCAACACAGTAAATGACCATATGACCTGTCTTTGTAATACTCATTTGTACTAAATTGTTATCTGTTTTACAATAATTTTTGTACCACTGAATATATCATTGCTTAGTTAATCTTAAGTTAATTTTAAGCTGCCCATAATGCTCTGCATACAAGGGGCTTTGGCATGCTGCACTTTAAAATTTATATTCCTTGTACTTCTCTGTATCATGTTCAAATTAATAAATAAATAAATAAATAAATGCATGCTTGCTGGGAGTCCAAGCCCCTTGCACACAAAACCTCCTTTACCCCCTCCCTCCAACCTTTCCTAGGCTGACAACAATTATATAGATGGAATACTCAAGTTTTTATTGCCGATTATTATTATTACAATCATGGGGGAACGCTAAACCCGTAGGGATTATACAGCGCCTGTGGGGATGGGGGGGGCAGAAGGCATTCAAGCTCAAGAGCCCTTCACGAGCATCAAGGAACCTCCCCTGAGGGGTTTTTATTGATGAGAAAAGAGACGTACTTTTAACTGAGACTTGAAAACACGAACAGATTCCTGACTCTTAAGAGACATTGGCAACCTGTTGAAGAATCTAGGAAATACAAAAGAAAAAACTCTGGAAATAATTTCTACCTAACATCACAAAGTTCAATCACAGAAGTAAAAAATAATGAACCTTTACTCTCTCATAACATGTTAAGTAAACACTGACATTTTAATAGAAATAAAAAGAATTTGAATATGAAAATGGTATAAAATAGCAAGAAGTTGATAAACAAGACACATGTGCACCAGTTAGGCATCTTTATTCTGAATCAAGATCCCTAACTATTGCACATGCATCTTATTCAAAAATAACAATTTAACACATTAGCCATCTCCCACCAAGGCGGGATAATTGGAAGAAAAAGAAAACGCATTCACCATCACTCGCTCAATCACTGTCTTGCTTCAGACGAATCTCTGAGCTGCAACATCCTCACCCCTCCTTTTGAATGCAGGCACTGTACTTCCCATCACCAGGACTCAGGTTATGCTAACCAGTTTCCCTGAATCCTTTCATAAACATTATTATGGTCACTCTAACAGCATATCAAGTCATTAAAATCCACCTGCTTCCACTCACTCAGATACACTTAACTCACACAAGCCTGTTGGACGTCCAAGCCCCTAAAAACACATTACTACTGAGCACCATCTTGGTTATTAGGCTTTAATTGGTCAACTTTATACATGCTACAAAAAAGTAAGTTTCCATTATATTATATTTTCAGTTATCTTTTAACAGGATAAACCCTCAATTTAACCCCTTCAGGGTCCAAGGCCCAAATCTGAAGTGGTGCCCCAGTGTCCAAGAATTTTCAAAAAAAAAATTTGTTATTTTTCTTATGAAATGGTAGAGAATCTTTTTGTGAAGGTAATAAAACAAAAAGTACGAAATTTGATGGAAAATTGACGAAATTATGCTCTCGCGAATTTTGATGTGTCAGCGATATTTACGAATCGGCGATTTTGCCGACTTTGACTCCCATTTTAGGCCAATTACATTATTCCAGTCAACCAAATTCTTAGCTATTTCACTATTATTACTTCTATTCTATCGATTGAGCACAAGAAATCGCCAAGTCAACTGTTTCAACTACAAATTAAAGTGATCGGAAATTGTTAATTTGGCCAATTTAACACAAAGTTCAAAATATTCCAATTTCAAAATAAGGTCCAGAATAAACAATGTAGGTATTCCTGGAACTAAACTAACATTTCCTTTGTTCATTAGTTACGTTTTGAGGCTTTACAAATAAATTCCATTTTGATTTTTTATTCACATAATGAATTTTTATTCACACCAAAAAATAGAAGATTTACTGTTATGAAATACTGTAATAAATGTATAAATATCATCACCATATTTGTGAATGCATATTAGACCTACCAGCTGGTGTGTATTAGACATGTTGGGTCGTTTGTTTACTCTTGAATATCGGCAAAAATTTTACATTTCTGCTACTTTGAGCTCAGTTTCAAGCCATTTCCAGTGCGAAAACCAATCAAAATCATCTCTATTTCTGTAATATGTCTTCCATTCTATCAAATGAGACAAAGAAATTGCAAATAGAACTATAAAAAACATACGAAAAAACACTGCAAAGTCGCTGTTTTAATCGAAAAATCATGATTTCAGTTTTTTTCTCTCATTATACACAGCGTGCTGCAGGATCTGTTTTATGTGGTGCACACATACCACATAGATGTATTCTCTCATATCTAGGCCCAAATGTACCACTCACAGTTTATCAGAGTGAGCTGAGCTCATGACGTAGATCTACGGTTTGGACCCTGAACGTAAAGCCATAGATCTACGGGACGGACCCTCAAAGGGTTAAGGATTAACCCCTAAACGGTCCAAACGTATATATACGTTCTTACTATTTTCCTGCCTCCAAATTTGGCACGATTGGCCTGAGATGCCTGGTCAGCACAGAATTGGTCTTAACACTTGGTGTGCACAGTATTAAAAAATCTGGGACCACTTAGTACCTTGTGGGAGCACCAGTTAGAGCAAACAGTGTGGGAAACACCAAGGATTCACTGATGTAATGTCATATTAACACTTCTCTTTTAAGAGGAAAGTGATGTTAACCCCAAGTTTAGGATCTGTCGATCTCTGTCTCTATCTGTCTCTGTCTATCTGTCTCTGTCTATCTCTGTATCTGTCTATCTGTGTCTGTCTATCTGTGTCTGTCTGTCTCTGGCTTTGTCTGTCTCTGTCTATCTCTTTCAATCTGTCTTTGTCTATCTCTGTCTCCCCGGTGCACATAAATACAAGTATACATAGTATAAATTACCTAGGATAACCCAAAAATCCAGACAGAGTGCTATACTCTGCTTGAAGATGTAAGTAAAGGTGATGACGCAGTCTTGTGGCTCTCTCTGAGACAGAGAGCTAGATGGATAGACAGATAGACAGGGAGCTTGACAGACAGCCAGAAATGTTTGTGTACCAGCAAAAACAAAGCGAGGGGGATGGTCATCTAATCTTTTCTTATCAGCTGCACCCTCCCCCACCCTTGTGTATGCTCATCAAACATCAGCTCTTATCAGATGTTATCTCCTCTTATCATGTCACTGTCAGGGGTGGACTTTGTTTTTCATGCTTCAAGGGAACATATTATTATTATTACCTATTATTATTATTATTATTATTATTTTTATTATTATTACTGTTATTATTATTATTATTATTCTCTTTCTCCTCCTCCTCCTCATTCTCCTCCTCCTCCTCCTCCTCCTTTTCCTCCTCCTCCTCCTTCTCCTCCTCCACTTCCTCCTCCTCCTCCTCCTCCTTCCCCTCCTTCTCCTCCTCCTCCTTCTCCTCTTCCTCATTATTATTATATACTTCCACATATCTAAAACATTGCTGGGACCTATAAATACTTTGTTCATATTCCAAGACAACAGTAAATGACCAAGGCAGGTGTAAATGTCCACCTGTCAATGTGTTTTTTGACACTTTGAGCAAAATTTCAGTACCTACTACTAGTGTCAGAACAAAGATTGGTTATAAAATGACGAGAATTACTACAAATTGTAATTATCAGAACATATACGTAGGGACTGGGATCCTGAAGATGTGTTGGGCATATTTATGCAAAGAACGTAGTACAGTAACTTCACTCACCTTTCTTTTCTTAATTATAACAACATGTTCCTTTGTAATGTGTTTCCATTTCGTGTAGATGGCAATGATAACCAAAGTGTTTGTCTGAAACCAATCATATTTTGGATTTGGTAGAGTTGATGGGGTAAGAGGAGAGACTAAAGGAGACACTGTATTCCCAATCGCTGGTGCTGAGAGAGAGTTCTTAGATGGTGCAGGAACTGGGGCGGCATCTAAAAGACAGACTTGTGTTACACATAAATGGGGAAATTGTTTAAAAAATAGCAGGCAAATTATTGAGAAAATAATACAGGTCTCCCTCAACATTCGCGAGGGTTAGGGGATCAAGAGCCTCACGAATGTTGAAAAACCGTGAATGTTTGGTGCCCCAATATATTGTAGGGAAATATATTACAATACTGCTTCCTTAACTTGTTGAACCATGAATAATCATAAAATACATGAAAACGTCGTAAACTGTACTAAATATATACATGTTATGCTTTAATAACGTATGTTATTTAATAACTTGTATGTTAATAACATGTATGTTATTAAATACCACTGCCTCCACCACTGCGAGTCCCTACTACCCTCCCTCCGACCCCCACAACTGGCAGCCAGCCCTCCCACCACTGTGTGGTGAGTGTTTTGTTTGTTCATTATTTGCTATTAAACTACAGAATAAATAATGTAAACCCATTCATGACTGCATTTTGGGAATGGCTATTAGGAAAGGTATTAGACGGTGACATCATGTGTTTACTCTTGAACACAGCAAAGAATCAAACATTTCTGCTATTGCTAATAAAAACAACAATAATAATAATAATAATAATAATAATAATAATAATAATAATAATAATAATAAATATGATATAATTGAAGAAGGAAATTGTACAAAAATACGAGGGAGTGGTTGACACATCGTCAGTGTGACTTTGTTTATGCTGGAGTGAACATTAGTCTCCCTGCTCTTCCAAACATTTCACAATAATTCAGCGGTTGAGGCAGTGGTATTTAATAACATATATGTTATAAAAAAATAATAGTGCATGTTATTATTAATAACATGTATTATTATTAACATGTATGTATTTAATAACATATGTTATAAATAATAATAGTACATATTATTAATAACATGTATTATTATTAACATGTATGTATTTAATAACATATGTTATAAATAATAGTACATATTATTAATAACATGTATTATTATTAACATGTATGTTATTAAATACCATTGCCTCAACCGCTGAATTATTGTGAAATGTTTGGAAGAGCAGGGAGACTAATGTTCACTCCAGCATAAACAAAGTCCCCACTGACAGTGTGTCAACCACTCCCTCGTATTTTTGTACAATTTCCTTCTTCAATTATATCATATCTATTATTATTATTATTATTATTATTATTATTATTATTATTATTATTACTATTGTTATTATTAGCTGTAGCAGAAATGTTTAATTCTTTGCAGTGTTCAAGAGTGAACACATGATGTCACCGTCTAATACCTGTCCGAATAGCCATTCCAATATGCAGTCATGAATGGGTTTACATTATTTATACTGTAGTTTAATAGCAAATAATGAACAAACAAAACACTCACCACACTGAGTGGTGGGAAGGCTGGCTGCCAGTTGCAGGGGTCGGAGGGAGGGTTGTAGGGACTCACAGGTGGTGGGAAACTTAAATATGATTTGGCGGCTGGGAATTTGGCGGTTGGGAATTCGCGAATGTGTGAAGCCCGTGAAAGTTGAAAACGTGAATGTTGAGGGAGACCTGTACAATTCTTGTCCACTTCCCTGGGGAGGTGTACAAGAATCTTTCCTCTGTAAGTAATGCGTGTTGTAAGAGGCGACTAAAATGCTGGGAGCAAGGTTCTAGTAATTCCTTCTCCGGTAAAAATTACTAAATGTATAAATAGTATAAACTTTACAGTTTTCTACTTTTTCAGGTCACCCTGCCTTCATGGGAGATAGCTGGTATGTTAAATAAAATCTTAAAACGAAATTCAATATTTCTTCTTCAACAAACCGGCCATATCCCACTGAGGCAGGGTGACCCAAAAAGAGAAACAAAAGTTTCTCTTTTTAAATTTAGTAACTTATACAGAAGAAGGGGTTACTAGCCCCTTGTTCCTGGCATTTTAGTTGCCTCTTACGACATTCAAAAAATTCAATATACAATATGTATGTATATGACCAATACAACAGTAAATAATAAATAGATACATGTATTTTAACAGAAAGTTCATTACACAATATACATAACAGTAATATAAGAGTTTAAGAAAATTTATGGAGGCAAAAAAGGCAATGTAGCAGAGTACAGTGGTGACAACACTGTGTGTGAAGTATGGGTTTCAAACATTGCAGTGAGGAGGAGGCTGGAGGCAGTTGAGATATTGTGTATGAATATAATGCAAAGAATTCAAACCATCAAAACTATAAGGTGTGGGATTATAAAAATATTATTTAAAGGGGAAGGATAGGTTGTTGATGTGGTTTGGGCATTTAGAGATGATGGATAAAAATGGAATGACTAGAAGGGTATATAAATTATGGGTGAAGACAAAGAGTGTTAATGGTTGTCTCAGAAAGACTGGAGGAGGGAGATAAAAGAGGAGCTGAGTGCTATGGCTGGAACATCTAACAGGCTTATGTGAGCTTGTTAGACTGGAGTGATTTGAGTTTTTTTTTTTTTTTTGAGTTGATGTGCTGTTGGAGAGCAAGCAAACTAACATTTATGAAGGGAGTCAGGGGAAACCTGCTTGCCAAATGTACATCCTGAAGGTGGGAACTACAATGCCTGCATCCAAAATGCATTTGCATTGCCTGAAACACAAATCATCAAAGTAGACCCAGTAAAGCTTTTTGTTGATTTCCAGAACTAAACACAAATCATCAGACAGTCCCAATACCTGAAGTATACCTGGAGAGAGTTCCGGGGGTCAATGCCCCTGCAGCCCGGCCTGTGACCAGGCCTCATGGTGGATCAGGACCTGATCTCCATTATGTATGCTGGGAGGCAGTCTGGGCCCCTGACACTTATTGTGTTTGTCTCTTATCGTCCTAGTGGCACTCCTGCTTTTCATTGGGGGGGTGTTGCATCGTCTGCCGAGTCTTTTGCTTTTGTAAGGAGTGATTTTTGAGTGCAAGTTCGGTGCTAGTCCCTCTAGGATTTTCCAGGTGTATATAATCATGTATCTCTCCCGCCAGCGTTCCAGGGAATACAGGTTGAGGAACTTCAAGCATTCCCGGTAACTGAGGTTTTTTATCGCAGTTATGCGCGCCGTGAAAGTTCTCTGTACATTTTCTAGGTCAGCAATTTCACCTGCCTTGAAAGGTGCTGTTAGTGTGCAGCAATATTCCAGCCTAGATAGAACAAGCGACCTGAAGAGTGTCATCATGGGCTTGGTATCCCTAGTTTTGAAGGTTCTCATTATCCATCCTGTCATTTTTCTAGCAGATGCGATTCATATAATGTTATGGTCCTTGAAGGTGAGCAGAGGTTTCGCTAGGGTTGGTGTCACCCGGGGCAGCATCTTTGGTGTCACCCCCATGAAATCCAAGGGCGGGGGGATGGGGGAAGTAAACTCCAGTTACGTCACTAATGCATGACTAATGACTAATGTTCAGCAATGAGAATGTTTAAGGGACATAAACCGAACAGGAGAATACTTCTCAACTTTATTAAAGATAAAACAAACAATTGTAGTAATATTGAGGAAACAAACTCAAATACCACTCTGAGTACAGGCAACAGATCCTACATTTATTCATCTTCAACAATGAAAAAAAAAAAAAAAAAAAAAATTGCAATATCAGAGAAACCCTTGTTCCAATTCGACCTTGAGTAAAGGTAACATCTCAGTGAATCTGATCCTACATTTCCTTGCCTTCAATCCTGCAAAATCATCTATCACATCATCAAAATCCATGATTTTCCCAATATAGGCCAATTTTGTACACTGTAATCATATAATGGGCTATATAGAAATGAAGGACTCTTTTCTTATGTTGGTGCAGCACTGTCTTGGGCATTAGTGTCACCTGCTTTAGAGGCTCAATGGTGTCACCCCCTAAATGGTGTCACCCTGGGTGCCCACCCCCCTTACGATGCCACTGAAGGCGAGATCCTCTGACATGATCACTCTCAGGTCTTTGACATTAGTTTTCTGCTCTATTGTGTGGTTGGAATTTGTTTTATGCTCCGATGAAGTTTTAATTTCCTCATGTTTTCCATATCGGAGTAATTTCTCATCACTGAACTTCATATTGTTTTCTGCAGCTCATTTAAAGATTTGGTTGATGTCCATCCTGAGTCTTGCAGTGTCTGCAATGGAAGACACTGTCATGTAAATTCGGGTGTCATCTGCAAAGGAAGACATGGTGCTGTGGCTTATATCTCTGTCTATGTCAGATATGAGGGTGAGGAACAAGATGGGAGCGAGTACTGTACCTTGTGGAACAGAGCTTTTCACCGTAGCCGCCTCAGACTTTACTCTGTTGACTACTACTCTTTGTGTTCTATTTGTTAGGAAATTATAGATCCATCTACCAACTTTTCCTGTTATTCCTTTATCACGCATTTTGTGCGCTATTACACCGTGGTCACATTTGTCAAAGGTTTTTGCAAAGTCTGTGTATATAACATCTACATTCTGTTTGTCTTCTAGAGCATCCAGGACCTTGTTGTAGTGGTCCAGTCCAGTAGTTGTGACAGACAGGAGTGACCTGCTGTAAAGTCATGTTGCCCTGGGTTGTGTAAGTTATGAGTATCTAGATGAGTGGTGATCTTGCTTCTTAGAACCCCTTTAAAGATTTTTATGATATGGGATGTTAGCACTATGGGTTTGTAGTTCTTTGCCATTGCTTTACTGCCCCCTTTGTGGAGTGGGGCTATGTCTGTTGTTTTTAGTAACTATTAGATGACCCCCATTGTCCATGCTCCCTCTCTATAGGATGTTAAAAGCACGTGATAGGGGCTTCTTGCAGTTCTTGATGAACATGGAGTTGGTTAGGCTTCATTTAGATTATGCTGCACAGTTTTGGTCACCATATTACAGAATGGATATACTGTAAATGCACTGGAAAACGTACAGAGGAGGATGACGAAGCTGATCCCATGTATCAGAAATCTTTCCTATGAGGATAGACTGAGGGCCCTGAATGTGAAGTCTCTAGAAAGGCACAGAATTAGGGGGTATGATTGAGGTGTATAAATGGAAAACAGGAATAAATAAAGGGGATGTAAATAGCATGCCGAAAATATCCAGCCAAGACAGGACTAGCAGCAATGGTTTCAAGATGGAAAAGTTCAGATTCAGGAAGGACATAGGAAAGCACTGGTTTGGTAATAGAGTTGTGGATGAGTGGAACAAACTCCCGAGTACAGTCATAGACTTTGTGTAGTTTTAAAAATAGGTTGGATAAATACATGAGTGGGCATGAGTTGGACCTGACTAGCTTGTGCTACCAGGTCCAATGCCATGTTCCTTCCTTAAGTGGAAATGACCTAACTAGGTGGTCATTGTTCTAAACCAGGGGGGGGTGACATGGACCTGCTTTGCATGGGTCAGTGGGCCTGTTGCAGTGTTCCTTCTTATGTTCTTATGAGTTTGGGCCTGGGGCAGAGTGCATGGTCATGTCATTTATCACCTTTTCGAAGTCGTTTGGCATCAGGATAATATCAGATAGGTGTGTGTCTATCAAATTTTGTGTTTCATAAAAAATTCATTACGTCTTCAACTCTCAGATTGGTTAGCAGCGTGCTAAAAACCAATTCATATTGGGACTCGAGTAGCTCACTCATTTCCTCACTGTCATCTGTGTAGGACCCATCCTGCTTAAGTAGCGGCCCAATTCTGGATGTTGTTCTCAACTTTAATTTGGCATAGGAAAAGAAATACTTTGGGTTTCTTTCAATTTCATTTATGGCTTTTAGTTCCTCCCACGTTTCTTGACTCCTGTGAGATTCCTTTAGCTTTAGTTCAATGTTTGTTATTTCTCTGACCAGTGTCTACCTACATATTGCAGATATATTGACCTCTTGTAGCCACTCTGTTATTCTTTGCCTTTGCCTGTATAGGGAGCGCCTTTCTCTTTCTAGTTTACATCTTCTCCTCCTTTTCCTTAAGGTAATATGCCTTGAGCATACCTCAAGTGCCACAGAGTTAATTTGTTCAAGACATAGATTAAGCAACATGGATTCTAACCTATCTTTCCGTTTTATATCATTTACGACTTCGTTTACTTGGTCTCACCTTATGTTTTTGTTACTGAAGTTGAATTTGGTGAAGGCTCCCTCGTGACTGATCACATTTTGCCGGTCTGGGGCCCCCCACATACATGTCTGGACCTCTATTATGTTGTGATCCAAGTATATTGTGTTTGATATGATGACATTTCGTATCAGATTATCATTGTTAGTGAAGATGAGGTCCAGCGTATTCTCCAATCTTGTAGGCTCTATTATTTGCTGCTTTAAGGTGAATTTGGTGCAGAGATTTAAAAGTCCATGTGTGTGCAAGTTTTCATCTCAGCTGCCTCCTGGTGTTATCTCTGCTACAACATTATTTGCTATATTCCTCCATTTTAGGTGCCTTAGGTTGAAATCCCCCAAGAGCAAGATGTTGGGGGCAGGAGCAGACAGTGGTCAATTTTCAAAAGCTGTTCCTGGAATTGTTGGGACGTTGCATCTGGAGGCTTGTATACAACCACAATGACCAGGTTTTGGTTCTTGATCTTTACTGCTGAAACTTCAACTACATCACTTGAGGCATTTAGTAGTTCTGAGCATATAAGTGACTCTGTGATATACAGGCCAACCTCCCTTATTGCCTGTTCACTCTGTCACATCTGTATAGGCTGTAACCTGGGATCCATATTTCATTTTCCAAGTGATCCTTTATGTGGGTCTCTGTGAAAATCATGAACATTGCATCTGACTCTCTAAGCAGTCCACAGATCAAAAGTATTTTGCTGTTCGTTGCTGGCTTTAGACCCTGTATATTTGCAAAGATGAATGTCATCGGATTGGTGTTATGGGGGGGATGGGGTCTTTTTTTCCCTGGCACTGATATCTGCTGTTTTGGAGTGGAGGCATTGGCTGTAATTCCACTCCAGAAATGATTGGAGTTGGTGTACGATTTCTGTCATTTCCTGCCAGCTTTTTTTCTTTCCTGGCGCTAAAAAAACCTTTCTCTCTGGAGTGGCTGTGGCTACCCACGCTTTCCCATGGTCTGCATGTTCTGTGTCTTCTTGTGCCCTTTAGGTGGTGTGCCTGGCTATGTAAGTTATAGTACTGTCTTTCCTGAACTGAAGAGTGACACATTTCAGGGTGGAAAGCTTACAGGAAGAGAGGTTGCATTTTCCTGTTGTCATACGGACACGGCATTTTCTGGGGTGGTCGAAGTTGCACGTCTCATCTGTTTTTCCAGATATTCCATGCCTGCAGATACCAAGTGCCTAGAATTTGCATAGGCCTGGTTTCTGTGTGCCTTGGTTTTTGTGACTGTATTCCCTGTGTTCCCTATAGGTGCATATTTTCCTGTCTCCTTTCTATCCTCAGCACTAGTGCTAACAATGGAGTCTTCATCATATACATGTATATCTGGTAATTTATCTTCACTATTTCTCTGGGCATCCCCTTGTTTACTATCTCCCATGGCATTGCTAGTTTGTAACATTGGTTTTTGCATGTCCTTGTCCTTGTCTACACCTGTTTCTCCACTAGAGCTGTCCCCCTCCAGGCTGCCACAATTTATTTCTCTATTCTTACAGTTGCTGTCTACCAGGACAGCATTTGTACCAGGAGCAATAGCATCATCTGGCCCAGATTTTTTATCTTCCCAACTGTTATAGAATGCTGTCATGTTTTTTATGAAGGCTGTTTTGATTTTATCATCTTTTAATACCAATGTGATTTTATTCCACAGTTTGGTCTCATTTGGGCATTCCCAAAAACACATCCCTGGTTTAATATCTCTTGTAGACGATTCCTGAACACCTGCACAAGGTGCATGGGTCCATTTCCCACAGAAATTGCATGTAATCCATGCAGTAGCCCATTTGTTTGTTTGGTTGAAGATTACAAAGGATTTCATGACATGATTTTATTTGTTTATTTTAGTGTATATTCTACTAACAGCTTTCTTAAAATGGAGATCTGTCTATTTGTATTGTATCTATTTTATTTGTATGTGTATGTGTTTGGTACAATCTTATCCCTCTAGTAGTTATTGTTTGGGTGTTTGATAGGGCCACCTAAAGCCCTGTCAGCTTATGAATCCGGTCAGAGGATACCTTATTTTTTCAATGGATCCATTTGGATCCTTGGATGTTAATTTTTGTTGATAATTGCCAGAATATAAGGCATCAGGCAGTCCCAGTAAAAATTTCTGTTGATAATTTCCATTCATACATACCCTGCCATTCATACAACACTGCCATTCATACAACACTGCCATTCATACAACACTGCCATTCATACAACACTGCCATTCATACAACACTGCCATTCATACAACACTGCCATTCATACAACCCTGCCATTCATGCAACACTGCCATTCATATAACACTGCCATTCATACAACACTGCCATTCATACAACAGTGACATTCATATAACACTGCCATTCATACAACACTGCCATTCATACAAAACTGCCATTCATACAACACTGCCATTCATACAACACTGCAAAAGAGCAGAATGTGCTATACATACCTGCTTTACGTGAGGTTTTTGTAGTTTTAATAAGAGGCAAGAAATTTGGCTTGAGGAAAAATGGCCGACTCTCTACCAAACGTCCCACAAGACATTTGTGAAGAATGGTCTCGAAGTTGACCCATTTGTGTATCTGCGAAACATTGAGCAACTTTCAAAATCACCTTGAAAAACTTTGTAGGCAAAAACTTTTCCAAGTTCAGTTGTACAGCGAATCAAATGTACATTATGGGTACATACATCTGTACAGTGAATCACGTGTACATTATAGGTACATACAATTGTACAGTGAATCAAATGTACATTACAGGTACATACACTCATACGGTGAATCACATGTACATTATAGGTACATACACTTGTACAGTGAATCAAATGTACATTACAGGTACATACACTCATACGGTGAATCACATGTACATTATAGGTACATACACTTGTACAGTGAATCAAATGTACATTACAGGTACATACACTTGTATGGTAAATCAAGTGTACATTATAGATATACACCTGTATGGTGAATCATGTAAACATTATACATACACTTGTACAGTGAATCAAGTGCACATTATGGGTACACTTGTACAGTGAATAGAGTGCACATTATAGGTACACTTGTACAGTGAATCAAGTGCACATTATAGGTACACTTGTACAATGAATCAAGTGCACATTATAGGTACACTTGTACAATGAATCAAGTGCGCATTATAGGTACACTTGTACAATGAATCAAGTGCACATTATAGGTACACTTGTACAATGAATCAAGTGCACATTATAGGTACACTTGTACAGTGAATCAAGTGCACATTATAGGTACACTTGTACAATGAATCAAGTGCACATTATAGGTACACTTGTACAGTGAATCAAGTGCACATTATAGGTACACTTGTACAATGAATCAAGTGCACATTATAGGTACACTTGTACAATGAATCAAGTGCACATTATAGGTACACTTGTACAATGAATCAAGTGCACATTATAGGTACACTTGTACAGTGAATCAAGTGCACATTATAGGTACACTTCTACAATGAATCAAGTGCACATTATAGGTACACTTGTACAATGAATCAAGTGCACATTTTTGGCAACAATATTTACATAGTAAAAATATAGAAACAAGCAACATTTTGAAATTTATTTCTAAAATTATACTGCTGGTTATTAAAAATTAATTATACAACCCTTAAAATTATTAGAAATTATGAAAATGATAGTAACTGTAATTTTTTAAATTTATTACAAAATTTATTACAAAACCTTTTAACCCTTTCAGGGTCCAAGGCCCAAATCTGGAGTCACGCACCAGTGTCCAAGATATTTCAAAAAAAAAATTTATTTTTTCTTATGAAATCGTAGAATCTTTTTGTGAAGGTAATAAAACAAAAAGTACGAAAATTGGTGGAAAATTGACGAAATTATGCTCTCGCGAATTTTGATGTGTCAGCGATATTTACGAATCGGCGATTTTGCCGACTTTGACTCCCATTTTAGGCCAATTACATTATTCCAATGAACCAAATTCTTAGCTATTTCACTAGTATTACTTCTATTCTATCGATTGAGCACAAGAAATCGCCAAGTCAACTGTTTCAACTACAAAATAAAGTGATCGGAAATTGTTAATTTGGCCAATTTAACACAAAGTTCAAAATATTCCAATTTCAAAATAGGGTCCAGAATGAACAATGTAGGCATTCCTGGCACTAAACTAACATTTCCTCTGTTCATTAGTTATGTTTTGAGGCTTTACAAATAAATTCCATTTTGATTTTTTATTCACATAATGAATTTTTATTCACACCAAAAAATAGAAGATTTACTGTTATGCAATACTGTAATAATTGTATAAATATCATCACCATATTTGTGAATGTATATTAGACCCACCAGCTGATGTGTATTAGACGTGTGAGGTTGTTTGTTTACTCTTGAATATCGGCAAAAATTTAACATTTCCGCTACTTTGAGCTCAGTTTCAAGCCATTTCCAATGCTAAAACCAATCAAAATCATCTCTATTTCTGTAATATGTCTTCCATTCTATCAAATGAGACCAAGAAATCGCAAATACAACTATAAAAAACATACGAAAAAACACTGCAAAGTTGCTGTTTTAATCGAAAAATCATGATTTCATTTTTTTTCTCTCATTATGCACAGTGTGCTGCAGGATCTGTTTTATGTGGTGCACACATACCACATAGATGTATTCTCTCATATCTAGGCCCAAATGTACCACTCACAGTTTATCAGAGTGAGCTGAGCTCATGGCGTAGATCTACGGTTTGGACCCTGAACGTAAAGCCGTAGATCTACGGGACGGACCCTGAAAGGGTTAAAAACATCAAAATTCTTGACAGTCTTTAATACCCTCAAGTGCCGTGCTATGATGGTAGTGAGAGGCTCTTGATCCAAGGAATTTTGCCTATCCTCCCCTTCCCTGACATTCCGACAGGTGTTGTACTGGTCTTGTATGTGGTGGCAGGGGTTGAGTCTCAGCTCCTGGCCCTCATCTCCACTGGTTGATGACTGGTGCACTCTTAGCTCCAAGAGACTTGATATGGAAAATTTTATAGGGTGATTACCTTTATGTACCTCAACATTACATGCTTACAAGTAAACTCATTGGGAGACAACCATATTGTTTACCGTAGTCACCCCGTGTAGACATGTGAGAAAACTTAACCACCCCTGGTCATGGCAAGTGGTTCCTTCGACCTCACAATCTTATCCATATCTATCCAAGACCAGTATGGATTGGATAGCACCCACAAGTACGGTGCTACTAATTAATTGTGGACTGTATAGATTATATTAGTGTAACTGAATGAAAGGGGGGGGAAAGGTTACACATGGATATATCCATCAAGGAAAAACACTTGCACATAATCTCTCCACTTACCAGATATTCTCTGGTGGTCACTTGATGTAGCTGGATCACTCATAACCTATCCAATTACAACATACCTAACTGGCCAGTATCAGTCTGCTATAAATAGAAGGGTTACCTAACTGTGGGTGATTGATACTCCTTATTTCCTCCATTCACCATCTCATTTCGATGTCCTGCTACACCGACACAGTTCTCATTCCAGCAGGACGAGGTATCTGTTGGTTTGTCCCGGTTTAGAAGTCGTGACTCAATGAACTTCATTATCCTCGTCCCGGGAACGAGGTCTAACGTGTTCACTCGGAGCAAGGCGACTTATTTCACTTCACTCATTCTCTTAACCTAGTGTTATTATCATTAATTACATTACAATTCACAAGACGATTTAATGTCTCATAATTATTATACACATTAGAGATCACTCCATTAAGATCTGAGACCGATGAGTGATGATTAAACCAAGGGTAATTTTCCCCGGGACACAGTCCATGGTGACGCGCCAGTCACCCGGTCCTACCCTTATTCACTCATTTTACCACTTTATTACCGTGGTCCCGTAAATCATGTTCCCTCACTCTCCACCAGGAACAGTTACGACACTTCCTATTATGAAATGAGGCCTATATTAATCCTTAGGCCGCCGTGAACGCCAATTTCCTGGTTCCATGCTTTCCCAGCCTCCTCACCATATTCAAAACACTCCCGCCTCCCCCATGGCCCGAGTCGACCTCTGCCCCCACACATCCGCGCATGCGCAAAGGGAACTCTTGGTTCTATCCTATTGTCAAATATAGTTTTGACTCATATCGACACATTAAACACCTATTAGGCACTATAGTTTCGGAAAATTAAAAATTTTCCACACTTATCATACCTCTTCTTCAAGCTCTGTATGGCTCCTGCCTCTGTTACTTTATTCTCCAGGTTGCTCCATATTCTGACTAAGGCTGAAGAAATACTTCCTGACATCCCTGTGACTCATCCGTGTTTTCAACTTCCAAACATTCTGTTCTTGTCCACTCTATCAATTCCTCTCAGTATTTTGTATGTTGTTATTATATCCCTCCTAGTTCTTCCTTCATGGGGATATTTGAGCACCATGTTTTTCAAAGGGATGCCTGAGTAATGTGTCCTTCAAGGGGATACCTGAGCATCATGATCTTCAAGGGGGATACCTGAGCATCATGATCTTCAGGGGGGATACCTGAGCATCATATATGCCAAAGGTATACTTGGGCATGTCCTTCAAGGGGATACCTGAGCATGCCATTCAAGGAGATACCTGAGCATGTCCTTCAAAGGGATACCTGAGCATCATGTCTTTCAAGGGGACACCTGAGCATCATATCCTTCAAGGGGATACCTGAGAATCATGTATTTCAAGGGGATACCTGAGAATCATGTCTTTCAAGGAGATACCTGAGCATCATGACTCCCAAGGGGACACCTGAGCATCATATCCTTCAAGGGATACCTGATCATGTTCAATGGGATACCTAAGCATCATATCCTTCAAGGGGATACCTGATCATGTTTAAGGGGATACCTAAGCATCATGTCCTTCAAAGGGATACCTGAGCATCATGTCCTTCAAGGGGATACCTAAGGATCATGTTCCTCAAGGAGATACCTGAGCATCATGTCCTTCAAGGGGATACCTCAGCATCATGTCCATCAAGGGGATACCTAAGCATAAGCTATGTCTCTTAAGGGGATACCTTAGCATTTATCATACCATCATTTCCTCATGTCACTCACCTCATTAAAAAGATCAGTGGCATCTGTGCCGACTCCTCGCATCAGCTCGTCCTCTCCTCCTGGGTGGAACTCCAGGTACGATGTCACATTATAAACTTTACCTGCAACAAAAATAATAATAACAATAATAATAATAATAATAATAATAATAATAATAATAATAATAATAATAATAATAATAATAATAATTAGTAGATTAGTATTGGTAATAATAATAACTCCAATAATAATGATTTATTTTTTTTATAAACATCAGCTGTTTCCCACCAAGGCAGGGTGACCCGAAAAAGAAACACTTTCATCATCATTCACTCCATCACTGTCTTGCCAGAGGCGTGCCAATACCACAGTTCAAATACTGCAACATATCTCCACCCCTTCTTCAGAGTGCCGGCACTGTACTTCCCATCTCCAGGACTCAAGTCCAGCTAAACAGTGTCCCTGAATGCCCTCAAAATTATTTGCTCACACTCCAACAACACATCAAGTCATAAAAACCATTTGCCTCCACTCCTATCTAACACTTATGCACACTTGCTGGAAGTCCAACCCCTTGCAAACAAAACCTTCTTTACCTCCTCCCTCTAACCTTTCCTAGGACTACCCCTACCCAGCCTTCCCTTCACTACAGATTTATATGCTCTTCAAGTCATTTTATTTTGTTCCAGCCTCTCTAAATGTCTGAACCACCTCAACAACCCTTCCTCAGCCCTTTGGATCATACTTTTAGAAACCCCACACCTATTTCTTATCTCCAAGCTACAGATTCTCTGCATTATATTCACACCACACATTGCCCTAAGACACAACATCCACACTGCCTTCAGCCTTCTTGTTGCAACATTCACCATCCATGCTCCACAGACAGCCACATGCTGTCTGCTGCCTGATAGCACCCCAGGACGTTTCCATGACATCACCCCGACGTCACACCATGTCATCCCAGGACGTTGCCTGACATAACAGAAGACATCTGCCCGAAGTCATACCACGATGTCACCCCACAACATCATGCCTGACATCACCCCATGTTGTGACACTGACAGTGTTAATTTGCAGTTTCTAAAGTGAGCAATGTAAGTGTTTTCAGTAATGTCTAGAGCGGCTGAGAGAAGAAATTTTTCTAAGTTTACCTGGAGTTTACCTGGAGAGAGTTTCGGGGGTCAACGCCCCCGCGGCCCGGTCTGTGACCAGGCCTCCTGGTGGATCAGCGCCTGATCAACCAGGCTGTTGCTGCTGGCTGCACGCAAACCAACGTACGAGCCACAGCCCGGCTGATCAGGAACTGACTTTAGGTGCTTGTCCAGTGCCTGCTTGAAGACTGCCAGGGGTCTGTTGGTAATCCCCCTTATGTGTGCTGGGAGGCAGTTGAACAGTCTCGGGCCCCTGACACTTATTGTATGGTCTCTTAACGTGCTAGTGACACCCCTGCTTTTCATTGGGGGGATGGTGCATCGTCTGCCAAGTCTTTTGCTTTCGTAGTGAGTGATTTTCGTGTGCAAGTTCGGTACTAGTCCCTCTAGGATTTTCCAGGTGTATATAATCATGTATCTCTCCCTCCTGTTCAGTATTGTAATATCACGTGTTTATTCCTCTTCGTTGGTGTTACATTACTAGTGTTCTCACAAGTTCGTGATTGCCTTAGTGTCGATTTTTACACAGAAAAGCATCATTTGCTAGTGCAAGCCATGTTGTAGCAATATTACCCCATGCTCAGTGTGCAAGTTTCCCGTGTGTGCCAAAGAGGTGGTCTGAGCACAGATGAGTACTCACCTAATTGTGTATTATTATTATTATAATCAAGGGGAAATGCTAAACCCATAGGATTATACAGTGCCTGTGAGGGGATGTGAAAGGTATTCAGGATTAATTCAGGGAACCGGAGCAGAGATCCAATTCCCTAGATCAAGAGCCCCTCATCAGCATCATGGAACCTCCCTTGAGGGGACCTAATTGTGTAGACAACAGTGTAGTCTGAGCCCCGACCACTATAACAGCCTTGTGTTACATGTCACCCCAATGTGATCATTTGATGACTGATACTAGTCAGTCCAGGTGTCAGATACGCGAGTCGTCTGAGCACCATGTGTAGAAAGTAAACGTGCTTGTCACTCTCGCAGACGTCATGCAAGAGTTGTCCCTACTACAACTCCCGATATGACTGAGTCGTCCCTGCTACGACTCACCCTCTTGACGGCACCAATCTACAATGCCAAGTTCCCGGCAGCGACTGCCCCTGCGACAGTACCAGTCGAGAAGTGTTTTTGCAGAGGTGCTCAGAATGCAACAGTTTAGAAGCATATACGTATAAAGATACACAACATATCCCTCCAAACTGTCAATATACAGTGCAGACATTGTACTTCCCATTTCCAGGACTCAAGTTCAGCTATATAAAAATAACTCGTTTCCCTGAATCTCTTCACTAAATATTACCCTGCTCACACTCCAACAGCTCGTCAGGTCCCAAATACCATTCATCTCTATTCACTCCTATCTAACATGCTCATGCACGCTTGCTGGAAGTCCAAGTCCCTCTCCCACAAAACCTCCTTTACCCCCCTCCCTCCAACCTTTTCGAGGACGACCCAAACCCCACCTTCCTTCCTCTACAGATTTATACGCTCTCCATGTCATTCTACTTTGATCCATTCTCTCATCCTCAACAACCCCTCTTCAGCCCTCTGACTAATACTTTTATTAATTCCACACTTTCTCCTAATTTCCACACTCCGAATTTTATGCATAATATTTACACCACACATTGCCCTTAGACAGGACATCTCCACTGCCTCCAACTGCCTCCTCGCTGCAACATTTACAACCCAAGCTTCACACCCATATAAGAGTGTTGGTATACTATACTTTCATACATTCCCTTCTTTGCCTCCATAGATAACGTTTTTGTCTCCACATATACCTCAACGCACCACTCGCCTTTTTTCCTTCATCAATGCTATGATTAACCTCATCCTTCATAAATCCATCTGCTGACACATCAACTCCCAAATATCTGAAAATGTTCACTTCTTCCATACTCCTCCTCCCCAATCTGAGCACCTCTGCAAAAACAGTGATTGTGTGTGAGTGAGGTGAAAGTGTTGAATGATGATGAATGTATTTTCTTTTTGGGGATTTTCTTTCTTTTTTGGGTCACCCTGCCTTGGTAGGAGATGGCAGACTTGTTGCAAAAAAAATATATTTAATCCTTAAATGGCCCAAATGTATACAGTGGACCCCCCGCATAATGCTATTAATCCGTTCCTGAGAGCTCAATGTTATGCGAAATTATCGTTATGCGAATTAATTTTCCCCATAAGAAATAATGGAAATCAAATTAATCCGTGCAAGACACCCAAAAGTATGAAAAAAAAAATTTTACCACATCAAATATTAAGTTTAATACACACAAACTTAAGAAAACATGCACAGTTACATGACACTTACGGTTATTGAAGATGTGATGATTGATGGGATGGGAGGAGGGGAGACTGGATGGTTTTAGTGTTTAGAAGGGGAATCCCCTTCCATTAGGACTTGAGGTGTCAAGTCCTTTTCCGGGGTTACTTCCCTTCTTCTTTTAATGCCACTAGGACCAGCTTCAGAGTCACTGGACTTCTGTCACACAACATATCTGTCCATAGTGGCCTGTACCTCTCGTTCCTTTATGACTTTCCTAAAGTGTTTCACAACAGTGTCAGTGTAATAGTCACCAGCACGGCTTGCAATAGCTGTCTGAGGGTGATTTTCATCCATGAAGGTTTGGACTTCAAGCCACTTTGAACAGATTTCCTTCAATTTCTCTCTCCCCTCCTCCGAAGCAATTTCCTCAGGTGTGGCCTCTTGCTGTTGAAGTTGATCTAGCAGCTCATCAGTGGTTTAGTTCTTCATGTCCTCCTCCACCAACTCTTCCACATCCTCCCCACTAACCTCCAACCCCAAGGACTTCCCCAATGCCACAACTGATTCCTCAACTGGCATAGGATTCTCAGGGTTAGCCTCAAACCCTTCAAAATCCCTTTGGTCTACACATTCTGGCCACAGTTTCTTCCAAGCAGAGTTCAAGGTCCTCTTAGTCACTCCCTCCCAAGCCTTACCTATAAGGTTTAAACAATTGAGGATATTAAAGTGATCTCTCCAAAACTCTCTTAGAGTCAACTGAGTTTCTGAGGTCACTACAAAGCACCTTTCAAACAGAGCTTTTGTGTACAGTTTTTTGAGGTTTGCAATAACCTGCTGGTCCATGGGCTGCAGTAGAGAAGTGGTATTAGGAGGCAAAAACTTCACCTTAATGAAGCTCATGTTCCCAGAAAGTCGCTCTGCCAAGTCTGTAGGATGACCAGGGGCATTGTCTAACACCAGGAGGCACTTAAGGTCTAATTTCTTTTCAGTTAGGTAATTTTTCACAGTGGGGGCAAATGCTTGGTGTAACCAGTCATAGAAAAAGTCCCTAGTGACCCATGCCTTATTGTTTGCCCTCCACAGCACACACAAATTAGCCTTGAGGACATTCTTTTGCCTGAACGCTCTGGGAGTTTCAGTGATACACTAATAACGGCTTCACTTTGCAATCATCACTAGCATTGGCACACATGAGAAGAGTAAGCCTGTCTTTCATAGGCTTATGTCCTGAGAGTGCCTTTTCCTCCTGAGTAATGTAGGTCCTGCTTGGCATTTTCTTCCAAAACAGGCCTGTTTCGTCACAATTAAACACTTATTCAGGTTTCAGTCCTTCACTGTCTATGTACTCCTTGAATTCATGCACATATTTTTCAGCTGCTTTTTGGTCCAAACTGGCAGCCTCACCATGCCTTATCACACTATGTATGCCACTACGCCTCTTAAATCTCTCAAACCAACCTTTGCTGGCCTTAAATTCACTCGCATCACCACTAGTTGCAGGCATTTTTCTAATTAAATCCTCGTGCAACTTCCTAGCCTTTTCACTTATGATCGCTTGAGAGATGCTATCGCCTGCTATCTGTTTTTCGTTTATCCACACCAATAACAGTCTCTCAACATCTTCTATCACTTGCAATCTCTGTTTTGAAAGCACAGTTAAACCTTTGGCAAAAACAGCTTCCTTGATTGCCGTTCTCTT